ATCCGATTGGCTATGAAGTACTCTACGCGGATCAACATCACCCTCTCACATGTCTCCCCCTCTCTCATCTCCTCCCTCTTCTATTTTCTCCTCATTCTCTTCCCCTCTTTTCCACAATTATAAATCTCGCAAGCGCATCGTTTTTGCTTTCTCGCAATACATCGTCCAACTCTGGTGGAGTAGTGGCTAGATGAGGTGGTGATGATCAGCGAGTCGGAAAGTCCTGACGAGTCGACTGCAACTATGCGGGGTTGCGTGCTGGATCGCTGCGACAGACTGCAGGATCCAGGCAAATCCATGTAGTAGTTGTATGGATGGGGTGACAATCGTAGGGATTAGTGTTGGGTACGTGGCGGTCGGGATCACCAGTGCTCGAGCAAGGCGAGGTGTGCTGATGGTTGGTTGGATGGCCTAGGGCCATAATACGAGAGCAGAGGGCTCTATGTGCCTCGTCTTCTTCTTCATCCTATAGTTGGAGTTAAGTTGGATCGCAAGATGCCATTTTTTCTTCTCAATCGAGCGAGTGTATATTCTCCTCTCATTTCTCTCATTGTGGATATATGTATGAATGGATGGATGTTGCATGTACTTGGCTTGCAATGATATGAATGGAATTGCCCTTGAGCTTTGCCTGCCGTTTCGCCCTTCCGTTGTCAAGGTCTCGTCGGGCGAGGATCGTTGAAACGCAAGAGTTGACGAAGGTTGTTTGATGAAATGCATGTCTCTCTTCCTTTTCTCTCCCAAGAATCGGAGTGATGTATCAATGATGGATGTATGTGGCTTTCTTTTATTTTCCCTCTAGTTAAACATTTTTTTGTCGGAGAACACCTCCACGTTCTCAATCGACTCAGCCGGTTCGTTTCTCGGTACAATCTTCCACTTGCAAGAAGAGTGTACGAGGAGATTCGCCGCATCTCCGCCGATTGCGAACGCGCAGCACTCCGGTCTATGATCTTTTCTTCGTCTCCATCCCATCTTCCTTTTAAATGAATGACTTTCTGTTTGATCAAAGGGTTTTGGAATGGGCATCCCTTAAAGCTGCTCAACTCATGAAGATCTTTGCTCTTCTTGTTGCTTCAAAGGAAATGTCGCTCCCGTGTAACAACACAAATAGTTTTGTTGTCATTACTCAGGACTTATTTTTGTTCTTGTCTCCACTCTTTTCGAAGAACTCGTGATTGCTCGTTCGGAAACTTCTTCCTTAACTCATCCATTAGTTTTCTGGGTAATCCCCCTTCACGAAGGAACACCAGACGTCGTATTGCCTGATTTCCTTGGCGAGGGCAATTCCTCGAAGTCGAATGGGCATCGATTGCCTTGTCTTGTGAACAGTGGATGCGTGTATATCGGTCATGTGGACTGAGCCAGTGGAGCCATCGAGGCGTCGACTTGTCGAACATCCCCGTCCACAACCTTTCCTGTACAGCGAGGATAGGACACGTGTGTGCGAGTGGGACGTGCGAGAAGCCGTCACCAAGATCGGCAGCCCTTATCACTTCCCTTTTCAAACCCGGTGCTCCGGATTTGTCAATTCGGGTTTTGTGATTGTTGACACTCATTTCCCTCCCTACTCTGTTTTGCTTCTTTTCAACGAGTTGATTGTCATCCCGTGGCCGACAGTTTCAAATATCGGACACGTGCGAGGAGTTTAAAGAGAAAGCAGTGAGACTACGATCCTCCGACTCGGATTCCGAGCTTTGCGAAGAGCGTCGTTGGTCCTTCGTTTGAAACCGAGATCTGACGTGCGTTCCCCCTCCTTTTTGGCCAGGAAAAAGACGTTGCGCTGGGCGCGATGAAGTTCAAAGATACATTTTGAATTAGATAGTCGTCGGGAAGGGACCATCCTATGCCTTTCCCCCTTTTGTTCGTTGCTCCATATCTGGGACCACACTGGAGATTTCAGTTTTGTCTGTCTCCACAATCAATTTCCAAAAGTCCTTGACACAGTCAGACACTCCCCATTTTGCCGCTTTCCAGGCCCCTCTCTGCGCTTTAGTCATCACTCCGACGGAAAAGTTATGCAGGGCGTGAGGTTGACCGTCACAACCACCACCACGACAACCACAACGACCCCCACCACCATGACAGCCACATCAACCACCACCACTATGACAACGACCACCACCAGCACCACCGCCTCATCAACCACTACCACTACCACTACAACTACAACAGCAACAACAGCTGCTACCTCAACAAGCACAGCAGCAACAACCACCAGGTCCACCACCACAACAACAACAACAGCAGCAACAATATAAACAACATCAACAACACCCATAACACCCACAACACCCACAACACAAACAACACCAACAACACCAATCACACCAACAGCAGCAACAGCTGTGACAACAACAATAACAATAACAACAAAAAACAACAACTAACAACCACCACAACAACCACAACTACAACCACAACCACAACCACAACCACGACAATCACCACCACCACCACAATGAAAACCACCACAACCACCACCACAACAACTACAAGGAACCTAACAATGAGACAGTTTCCCCAGCAGCGAGAGACACCAAAGCAGAACAAGCATACAAAAGCGCAGTTGAAAGCAGATTTACGAACCCAAAATGACACCAATGCACTGAAGTCTCTTGATAGCCCAACTTCACCGCTCCAGTTATCAATGCAACAGTTTGTTGCTCTTCTATTTTGTGACCACTTATACTACTTCCCTACTTACTCTACAATGTCTACATGCTATCCTACTTCCTCTCTATCTCCCAATCTCTTCTATCTTCTCACGATCCTCTCTTCTTTTCACCCGACGATGTCTTAGAGTGTGACCACGTCCTGTGTGCTCATCACCCATCAGCAGGTAAGTCCAATTTCTCATCACTATCCTCTCTTCCCATCGTCCTCCCAGTACTTGCACATCCCTCTCACATCCAGTGCAGATATGGTGCCACTGGTAGAGCTGCGATACCGTGGCAACTCTCCCCTTTTGTGGTCAACGCACCGGGCCCAGCCGGCTTCTGCTGCGCTAATCTTAGCATACTTAGCCAGCAATCCTCTGAAGTGCAAAAGTGTGTCCCTCAGCAGAGGGCCTCAACACTTTTGTCGAACGGTCGAACAGTTGCTTCGTTGAGAGGTTCCTTCAAGTACCAGAAGCATCTGAACCATATGCCTGGGCTGTTACTTTATTGCCCTGGCAGTTACACTTGAATGCCTGGGCCTATACTTAGGGCCCAACTTAATTATAGTACACCTGGTTGTTACTTGGATCTGGGTCAATCCCATGTGGGTGGCCCCTGCTGGGCACTGCCAAGGCCAAGGGACCTTTCACAACCACCATCACCACAACAACAAAAATCCCAACCACCACCACCACAGCAACTGAAACAACAACAACCACCACCGCCACAACAACCACAGCCACAACCACCACCACCACCACCACCACACAACCACCATGTGATGCCCAAACCTCATGCCCCGCGCGACTTCCTGATCGGAGTAGGATGTGGGCCTGGAAGTGCGAAAACGGGTGTGCCAAGGATTTTTGGGAAAGTGGGGGTGGAGTCCCAGGTCAGAACTGAGATCTCCTGTGGCAGAGTTTTCCGGGGGCACGAGTGCAATTTGGCGGAGAGGGCGGACCGCCTCTGGTCATAAGGCAGATGGCATGCGCGGGTCATTCAAGGCTGGGCGAGCCATTGGTTCCAAGGACGGCGGTTTGCGGGAAGGTCCCTCCGGGGTGGGGGTGGGGTTCCGATGAGTCAGGCCGTCGGAAGTTGCCACGTGGTGCCGGTCGTCGCGCGTTTGGGTTAGGCCTCCGGAATTCCGGGGTCCTCTGATCGCCGCGTCGTCGGCAATTTCCGTAGGGTGTACTGGGCCAGTATGGGGCTATGGCCTTCCATGGGACGACGCTGAGTTGGTGATACGGAAGAAGAAGACGGAAGGGAGGGAAGCTGGTGGAGATAACGACAAATCCAAGGTGGGTGAAGTAGTGGGTGTGGTCCTGAGTGGGGAAATCAGAGCACCGGGGGTCGCTAGTGGTGGTGCAGTGAAACTCCCTAGGACACAGTTGATTCTCGGTCAGGCAAGGGTATCTCTGTCGGAGGATTTCCTCTATCCAAGGGGTGAAGTAGTCTGGGTCGTACGACAACGACTCCGAGTTCTCTGTGCGTGTCATTATGTCATCGCAGAGCTGCGAGATGCCTAAGGGCGGGTCTGTGCCGATTGCGATCACCGCGTGCGAGCACGTGCAGGCTGCGCGAATCAAGTCGCGCTTACACGTGTTCGCACGGGATGACTGCTCTGTTGCAGACCCCGGATGGCCGTATCCAACCAGACGGTATTTCTACAATCGATAGTCCTTTTTGGAATTGACGAATCGATGCACGGGGGCACGTGTAAATGCGCAGATCCGATCGCATTTACACGCGTCCTTGCGTGGCGTTCGCTGGGCCAGACATTCGACTGTCTAATCACTCCGTGATTCTCGAGCATGCAAGATGCAACAATCACAACAGCTCAATCAAAAGATAAGCAAAAACGAGAACAGGACTACCGATTGCACAAAATTCCTATCCTACTCATGAGTGCATTAAAGGCAGTAAACAAAGGCAAAGGCAAGGATCCGATAGGAAGACAAGCAACCAAACATTACATCCATTCATTCATTCATACATTCATACATTCATACACCATATCTGAGATGGGAAATCGCAAGGACAAGGGTGAGCGAAAAACCAAATCCAGATTCTGAACAATAGAAAACAGGCAAATCACCCGGAGCCGAAATCAAAATTTATATACACGAGACAAGAGGGAGAAAAGATAAAAGAAACAGCAAATCCGCGTCCATCAACCTCAGCTCCCTCTTCCTCTCTCGCTCTCTCCGATGCGGACAGTCCGTCATCGCGCACCAACCCACGAAGCCGTCACCCCGCTTAGTCCTCCCGCACCCATCAGGTTCGCCCGCGCCCACAATCGGTCGTGGCTCGTGTCAACCCCGCGCGTTTGGCACCAGCCCGTCGGGTCGCCCGACTCCTGCTCTACTCACCTCTTACTTCGCTCGTGTGCCGACCCTCTCTGATCGCTCAACCCCGAGCTTCCAACAGCTGGTTAAGAGAGCTGACTAATCGCGCAGCCGAAATTTATAGCGTGCATGCATGCGCGAGGAACACAGAATTACAAAGACTTAGAAGGAGAGAAGGGGAGGGATTGCCTACATCTGCATAGTCAGAACGCGGCGTGGGGGACGTAGCCGCTCTCCACGCATCGATCCGATCATGCAGGCCGTGGCTACCAAAAAACGCAGCAAAAGAAAGAGAAGAGGGGCGGGAAAGACGAAGCACAAGAAGAAAGATACAGTTACAATGGCGCCAATCCAAAATTGCAATTACACACCCGATTAAAGGCGCCGACTAATCAAAATTCCGTTGCAGCCGCATAAAGAAGCGCGTAAGCAAAAAGGCGTCACGCGGCAAAAGAAAGTCTTAAGTACAAAATTCCTAAATTCCTATCTAATGCGAAAAAGCAAAAAGCACAAGTTCCGGAAAGAAAGTCCGAAATTCCGAGAGCCATCGGGGCTCGACAAAATTTGAAAAAGAATTTGAAAAGGAAATTTCAAAAAGAACGAAGCAAAATTCCCGCGCGATGTCCGCGCCTAAAGAGTTCCGAAACCGAAACAAAAGAAACGACGTCAACATTTATTACTCGCGCGCTTGGAGGCACGCCAGCCATCCACCCGACCAATCAATCGCTCGTCCCGGGACACACCCAGCTCCGAACTCAGCCATCCGAAAAGAATCGATGCAAAAGACGAAGAAGCGAGGGTACTGATGCAATTTCCCACCCATCCCAATCTCCCGTAATTGGCCCAACCTTCCCAGCTTAGGACCCCTCATTGCAATCGCACAGAAAGTCGCGCGCTACAGAAAGTGGTTCGTCACATATGTGACGCCCAGGGGGTTCCAATATTAGCAAGCTTGCTTGCTTGTTGACACGTGTCGATCTCTCTAATTGATCGACACACGGAGCTCTTCTCTCTATGCCACTTACCGTTCGAATGAGTATGGACGTCATCCAACGTGGCAAACACAACTCTACTACTAATTCCTCAGGGAGGGCCATTGACAATCCAAGGAGGGGATTACATGTGTCGTCGTCATGACGCGTATCCATCAGTCATACATCAGCGAGCGCCAGGGAGGGGAAAGGGGAGACGGTACATGGAGGGATGGCGAGGGGGAGGGTTGATTGGTAGCGGGGGAAGAAAGCTTTCCATTCCGGCCACCATCTCCGGAACTTCCTGATAGCGAACGATGCGGTGAAAGCGGGGGAATCGGTTGCCAGTGTGAGGGAGGGATGCGAGGTAGTCGGGGTAGAGGGTGGTAAAGGTTCGGAAAAGCGTCGCGCGGAAGTGATCGTGGTTCTCGCGTGCGGGGATAGTCCCCGTAATCATGCAGTATACCTCGATCATATTGTGGCCTCGCCACGCGGTGCTAAGGAGAAGGATGTGGAGGCAGAAGACAGGGCGGGCGCATCGGGTGGAAGGGTGGGGTTGAACAGTGACAGCGAGGTGGGGAGTGTAGAAAAAGCGGAAGGTATCAATGGGGAAGGGATTGCTGGGGAAGGTGACGCGAGTGGTAATCTGGCGGAAAGAGAGGTGGTTAAGGGGACGGCGGGATAATGACCGGGGACGAAGCCCCATTCCCCGCATCGGTACGTGGACGAGTTGGTGGACGGTCGGTGGCGGAGGGGGAGGGGGATCGGCTTCGTCGCCGTCTTGCCGGTGCGGCCGAAGTCCCGGCAGCTGGGTCCCTATCCTCGGGCTTAGGTGGCTCTGGATCCCGGTCCGGATCGTCGTTGAGAGGCTGTCCGGCGGCGCTGGCGAATTCCAACTGTCGCTTCCCGACCGCGATCTCTTCCCTCTTCTGCGCCTGGGCCTGCGCCCGAGCCTCGTCACGCACTTCCTCCTCAAATCCCTCCCACTCGGATTCTTCTAGCTCCTCCTGGTCTTCTTCTTCTTCCTCCTCGTCGTCTTGTTCTTCTTCCTCCTCCTCCTCACTTTGCTCCCCTTCGCTGTGCTCACTGTAACTCCCCTCTTCGGGAGTTTCTTCCTCGTCGGCCTCTTCTTCAGCTTCTTCTTCTTCTTCCGAGCTTTCCTCTTCCGCTTCAATCTCTACCTCTTCGTTCCCGAAGGTCGTCCGATCTTGAAAGAAGGCGAGATCGACTATCTCGTGCGGGTCCAGATAACCGCGCTGCGACGGTGGGTTGCGGCTGCTTCCGGGCGCCTCCAAACACGCCGACCATTGAAGGTATGGCGTCAATGTGCGTGGGAGGACGTGCGGGACTGGGCTGTTGTCGCTTTGAGAGACGATCTCAAGTGGGAGATCGTCGGCCAGCTGCGCAAGGGGGACCGTTAGCTCCTGCACGATTGGTTGGCGATGATCGGCCCGCACCGATCCGAAGAGGAATCCAAGCAGATCGCCCTCCACTCCCGTTCTCCACGCCTGGATGATAAGCAGCTCAAGGTACTCAGCCCACTGGCGGTGATCCTCCTGCCGCGTCCACGTGACCTTTACTCCGATCAGACACACCGACAGCTCAACGAAGTGTTCTCGCCAACGCCTCCACTGCTGGGGATCAAGGAGGGGGACGACGAGTGACTCCAGACAAAAGGAGAGATGCGGATGGACTCCGGATTGCCAGAAGGTGGGAAAGAAGGAAGGGAGGTCGAAGGTAGAGATTGGGGATGGGTTCATTGAGGACGTTGAAAGGGGATGAGCTCAGGGAGCACCACCGTCGCCTCGTGTTGGAAGGTTCGAATCCCGTCGAGGTCGACGCCGTCCGTGGGGAAAAGATTATCCCAGCGGGGCGTGAGCCAACGATTCCACTCTGACGCCAACTGCTGCGCCCACAGCTGGAGCGTCGTCTTGATAGCTGTATGCCGCAGCGGGCTGATGGTGCTGATGTTGCCGCTGAAGGAGACAACCGTAGACACGTGGCTGATTCCAGGAGCTGATCGTCGATGAACTGCTACCGCTTCCGCCAAAACAACCGCCCGGGGATTGCCTGCAAAGCGAAACTCAGCGGCTGCGTACACTCCCTGAGCACAGAAGTACTGCGCAAGTTGTCGAAGGTCCGGGCTGAGCCGCGGATGATGAACTTGTCGGATCGCCGAGATGTAACACCGCAATGCCAGCAGAGGATCGTTGAGAGCTTGCTCCGCCAGAAAACTCATGGCGATGGTGACGGGGACGGAGTAACAGAAGGAGAACGAGAAGGATACGGAGAGATAGGCGATAAGCAGTCGTCGTCCTCTTCCGCAGTGGAGGAGGAATTAGGTGAAGGCAAAGATGGGGAAGAAGGAAGGGGACGAAGGTAGGACACGTGGCGGATGATCGGTCGAGCCGATCGGCTGCAGGAGACCTCAGGTGCAAGCCGCACGGTGTTCACGCCTTTCGGTCCGAGCTCAATCACGCGGAATCGCCCGAAGAATCGTGGCGCTAGCTTACCCTGGGGAGCACATTTCCTCACTTGCACGATGTCCCCCGATTTGTACTGGGGTCGTGGACCTGCGTTCCCGTTCCGGGCCTCGTAGCTTCGGACCTGTCGGCCGTGGGCCAACTCGGTCAGTTTCTGGCGTTTTCGAGCTAGCTTGGGGAGGAACCGTTCCATTAGCTCTAAGTGTTGCTTGGCCTTGTCTCGAACCGTGGCCCTTGTGGGCCGCCGGTTGAGTGTCGATTCATCGGGGAGGCTCGGTATCGAAACGCAAGCGACGCTATTGGTCCTTAACTAGAAGGGGCTTAGGCCCGTTGATTCATGGGGCGTTCCGCGATGGACCGCCAAGATGTGGTCTACGATATCGGGCCAGGGCCTGGGGTCTCGTGCCACGATATTTCGTCGCAGCGCTGTCTTTATCACCCTAATCGCGTTTTCTACCAGCCCATTGGATTGTGACATATGGGGTGCGGTATTCCACACAGCGACATCGTGTATGACCAGGTTCCTTAATACTTCCCCTCTGAATTCTGCCCCGTTATCGGTCAGGATTTCTTCCGTATCCTGGTGCATCCCGAGAAAATGGCTAACATACCGCGCAATTTCCGCGGCTTGCCGCGTGCGACATGGATAGACCTCGATCCATTTCGAAAAATGGTCGACAAATACCAGCAGGACTGAATATTCACAACTATTAGGGCCACGAGGTACCACGATATCGGTAGTATCCATACTCACCCTTTGAAACGGCCGCTCAACTACCGTTGGCACTATCGATCTTGGCGGCTGGATCGGCGCCTTGTCAGCGGCGCAGACTTGACAGTTTGCGACGATGAATTTCACATCGTCCCGAATGTTGGACCAGTACCACTCATTTTTGTCCATTGCCGATTCCGTAATTCGTACGGCAAAATGGGCCGCCATTTCTTCGTGTGCTGTCTTCACCCAGTCATACCTCATGAATGGATGCGGTACAACCATCCAAATCTCACTGTCGTCCGTTTTCCGTTTTTCCAACCTACCCTCGACCCATCGATAATCCCGAGCCCTTTCATTAGCCTTCCTTCGATCTTCCTTGGTGAAATCTTGGAGGGGGTTACCCACTAAGGTAGCAATCAGAGCGATATCGGTCCATACTTCGGCGCTTCTAAACTTCCGGGTCTTCTCCAACCCTTCTGACGTGGCATCCAAAAAGCGAGCCTCGGTCGGGATCTTGTCAACCCCACACAAGGGGCATAGCCACAGTTTACTGTCATTTCGGTATTGGATGCACGAGCCATGGGCTCGTGCGACACACTGTCGACAGTCTATCCATTCCGCATACCCTTCCCCGTTAGGACGCATGGAGACAGAATATACGTGAGAAATTGCGTCGCAAAAATAGCAAAATTTATCAGGCAGGGAGAGAAGAGATGAAGAGGAGAGGGGAGAAAGAGGGGTAGTGGGGTTATCTCTGTCACCCATTGCCATCGGTCTGCTTCTTGCCACGTGGGAGAACTGCCACTTGTCCGTACTTAGGCCCGTTTGCCGGTTCTGATTCCTTCCACGGAGTGATCTCCTCGCCCTTAGGTACTTTAGCGGGCCGATGGAGACGTGTCAGTCCGTCTGCGTTGCCGTGTCTTTCTGTCTTCCGGTGGATGATGTCGAAGTCGTACTCCTGTAGACGTACCGCCCAACGTCCAATCATGGTCGTGTAATTAGTGAGCTTCTTCAAAGCCATCAGAAGCTCATGATTTGTCACGAAGCGGAACTTCTGTCCGTAGAGATACGAATGGAAGGGCTGGATTCCCTAGACCACTGCATAGCATTTGCCTTGGGGTGCTGAGTCATTCCTCAGTTCGTCTGGCACCATTCGCGACGCGTACTCGATGACGTGTTCGTGACCATTGTTCCCCTTCTGTGCCAAAATGGCGGAGATCGCTTCCGGTTGCCAGTCCGTTATAAGAATAAATTGCTTGGCAGGGTCCGGTCGGATCAAAACAGGTGCAGTGACCAGAGCCTTTTTGAGCTCATCAAAGGCTTGTCCTAACTCAGAGTCCCACTGCAGAGGCTGGTCCTTGCGAAGCAGATTCGTGAGAGGCCCAGCAATCGCCGCAAACCCTTTGATAAAACGGCGGTAGTACGACGCTAGGCCTAAAAAGGCTCGAACCTGCGTCAGCGACGTAGGAACGGGGGCTTCTCTTACAGCCGCAACATTCCTGGAGTCCGGTCGCAGTCCTCCACGTGTCACTACGTAGCCCAAGAACGAAATTTCCGAGAGGAAAAATTTGCTCTTCTTGAGTGCAATCTTGAATCCAGCGTCTCTCAGTGCTCCCAATGTCCACTCGATGTGTTGCGCATGTCCATGATAGGTCACCGAGTAGACAAGAATATTGTCCATGTATACAATTACACAGAAGTTAATCATTCCCTGCGTCAACCGTGTCTTGTTGACGAAGTTTTGGAACGTCACGTCCATCGCTCGTTGAAACGTGGCAGGCGCGTTACAAATTCCCATCGGACACAGAACCCACTGCCACGTGCCTTCAAACAATACGAAGGCCGTCTTCGGCCGATCTTCCTCCTTAACCAGAATGTGATGGAAGCCATGCCGAATATCGAACTTACTAAAATAATTAGCACATCCAATCGCATCCAGCAAATCATCAATCCGGGGGAGGGGATACACATCTTTGATCGTGATTTCATTCAGTTTGCGATAATCGATGCATATGCGGATTGATCCGTTCTTTTTCGGCACTAACACTACTGGAAATTACCATGGTCCGGTGGCCGGTTCGATCCACCCGCTTGCTTCAAATTCCCGAATTCGTTTGAGAGCCTTTCTCTGTTCAATCAGGGAGTATCGGTAGGGCTTGCAGTGGATGGGGGAATGATTTCCCGTCTGAATTTTGTGTTGAATGACCAACGACAAGCCGATGTCAGTGTCTATTACGCTAATCGCTCCCTGGTATTCCGTCATAATGTCAGCAATCAAACGGTGAATCTCATCAGGTACGTACTGTGGGACATGTAACTCGAAGAGCTGATCCCAGATCCGTACGTCGACCTACTTCGTGCGTGCTTGTTTCGCCACGTCGGGTGGTGGCGCAGAGATAAACGAATGGTCCGATTGCCAAGAGAACACCGTGGCCATCATCTAGCCGTCTTCCTCCCGGATGGCCACGTGTCCTTCCGGGGTGATCCCATCGCAGATATCTTGCCATGGTACGGTTTTAGTTGCAATCTTTACTCCGAGCTCATCTGATTCAGCCTCGAGACGCCCAGGGGGTTCCAAAGAACTGGCCTCCGCCCCCAAGCGTAGCAGTCGTGCTTCTTTTGCGGGTGTCAATAGGGACTTCGGGAGATCTGTGATATCGCAGTAGTGCTTTTTGTCGTTGTATCGGGCGAGGACAGGGGAGATCCCTTCGTACAGGGTTTGAGGGGGTTCCAAAGAGTCGACCATCCTCGAAATCTGTACGAGGGGTTCACCCAAAATCATCGCCTTGGTCCTTTGGATATTCCGAATGGTTAGATGCATCGTTCTTGCGATCGTTCTGGGGGGCGGGTAGTAAATGCGCTGTCGTGCTAGCTTCAGAATTTCCGGATCATTTTCGTCACTGCTATCCGCATCCCTCGATGATGGCTCATCTTCTGCGGAGTCTTCCCAGGTGACCATGCGAAGAGTTCCCGCGAGAGAGAGAGAGAGAGAGTGACAGCACCAACGGCCAACCGCGGTCGCGCGCACGCGCGCATGAGAGAGAGAGAGAGAGAGAGAGAGAGAGAGAGAGAGAGAGAGAGAGAGAGAGAGAGAGAGAGAGAGAGAGAGAGAGAGAGAGAGA